CTTGCATAAAAAGCAACTAGTGATGTTGACATTCACTATTTTTTGAAGATTTGTATCGAATTTCACCAATCAACACATTTTGCTCTGTGAATAAAAACCAAATAAAACGTTTTCTTTGAAGACTTCCATACCATTTTGTAGATTTTGAAATGCTCTATCATATTATATATAGAACGATATTTTTTAGTACAGTCATAATTATGAAAACACAACTGAAAGCCATTGCAGCGTAAAAAGTAGGTGTCTGTCTTAAAGTATTCCCGATTAAATAATATGAACAGATTATTCTTCCAAGTTTATTCATCACGTATCATATAGAGAAAAGAATTCTCAATCGATTCATATATAAAAAGTTTAGTTTTCATTTTAATTAATGCCGGGAACCAATCAAAACCTAGATACACTCAGAGGCAAATTTCTAGTCCAAAAATTTGTCTTGTGGTGTCTATAACTCGGACTAGGTACATCCAAATAGAGATAAAAGTTGGAGGGTATGCGTAAAAAATGTGCACTATAAAATGAGCCTATTGAATCAAAAAAGTGGGGGTCAAGACCCCGTCCTCTCCCCCTTGATACATTTTATGAATAAATTAAAAAGTATGTTAAATTTTGAAGGGTTTATTTTAAATAAACAAAATTTTCTTGACTATAACATTAAAGAAATAAAAATCAGATCATAGAACAAGAATTTTGATTGACTCAAGAATTTCCTTTGATAATAATGATCAATTTTGAAGTAGTCAAAAAAGAACGATTAGAAAGAATTTTGTTTTTCATAGAATATATTCACTTGATCGTTAATTGTCAACATCAATTGAATTGTTTCTGTCGAGAAAGTCTCTTAAATATGATCATCTAAATAAAATCGGCGGCCACAAAAGGAAGAGAATTACTTTTTAAAAGCTCATTCTCTATAAAAATTTCATTCATCTATTTTAGCTATCAATAGCTGACAGAATACAATCTGTTTGAATGTTCTAGTGGAATCCAATGTTTGATTGAAGTAAAACAACAACAAAGCATTGTTCTTGTGTAATGTAGTTTTATTTATTTATTTACAAAAACTTATTCATAGATCAAGTTGTTTTTGGAATAACTGATGGACTAATTTTAGAAAAACCAGATGAATTCGAGAAATATTTTTGACTTTCAATTCCAGTTTTATCTTTGTCAGCTGCATTCGGATTAACAATTTCAAGACCCTAGAAAATAGTTTAATTAGATCAAAAACAAGAAATTTAGAAAATGTTCTTACTTGAAGTGGAGTAAAAGCTACACTAGATGCTGTTCCACTAATTTGTTTTCTATTGTGTACTGTTGTTGTTCCTCCATATGCATTATTTTGACGTTGTAGAGTTTTCTATAAGAAAAGAGTAAGAAAAGCAAAAGCTGAAAAAACTTCAGAAAAAAACAAACTTGAAGTTTTTGAGAAATTTTCGCTTTGGTTTTTGAATCGACTTGTGCAGCTCGTACTTTTCCTGAACCAGATTTACCGATCATACCTGTTGAAAAGCCAATTGCATCCTGATAAGCATCTTCTTCAATCTTAAATAGAGAAGAAAAGTTACGGTAAAAAAGTGAAATTAAATTTAAAATATAGACCTCTCCAAATTTCATTTGATTCGCTTGTGCCCGTAACTGAGTCATTCCAAGACGTTCTTTCATTTTTCGATGTCTTCTACCACCACGTTTCTTTCTTCCAGGATCAATGGGTGGTGGTAATGGTTTTACGGCTTTAACTGGTGGTGGTTCTTGTAATTTTTCTAGACGTCGTTCAATTTCACTTAATAAAAATTTTCCTTGTTCGCCTTTGGGACTTTCATGAAAACTGTCAACACGTGCAGCTAATGTCACTTTACATGATACTAAACGTGCTACTCGAACACGAAGATCCTAAAAGTAAAATAAATCATAAAAACTAATTTCATTTTTCTTCATTTTATTTTCAGTTTAACTAGGCACTAATAAAAGAACATTACTCGACTGAAAAGTATTCAATAATGATTTAATCTCTATTCAATGTACTAGACCATATTGTCGTCTCTTTTTTGTTTTGTTTAATTGATCTAACGGTATTGAATATAACAATATAATGAAATAAACAAATTTGAAGCAAAACCAATTCCATGAATAAATCTCACAATTCTAAGGATATTGTGAAAGGAATTTTATTTTTTCTTTGAAAATAGTTTAAACTTAAAACATCATGTAGTTCAAGAGAGCAATAGTCTTCACGATGTGACAATTTTATTTATTAACCCACTTGATAGTAGGTGTTTGCTCTTGTTCGCTGTTAAATCTTCTATTTTCAAAAGAAAATTTCGATAAGAAAAATACTATAAATAATTTGTTTTTGACTTTAATCTTAGAATCAAACTTTATTCTACTAACTTATTATTCTTGTTAAAACGACTTTATCCGCAAAAGAAAATATTTTTTTCATTGTTTTAAGTTTTCTATTGATCAAACTTGTCGATAACTATGAGATTCACGGTCATAAAATTAGATTCTCTTAAATGAATAATCGAAAATCTAATTACTGGAATATTTTCATTACCAAAAGATAAATTCAAAAAGGAATAAAAATCAGAGAAAATATTTTATAGAAAAAATAACTAACCGGTGGACAATCTTGAACAATTTTTGAATAAAAAATGGCTCCTGCATGAGGCATAGCCGTTGATGATGAAAAACCGCCAAGAACTTTTTTATGCGCACCCAACAATAAAATATTGCAAGAAGGCATTTTTGTTAAATTAGTTAAACCACCAGCCATACCCATCAATTTCGCTGCAGTCGATGCACCAACAATAATTGATAAATTTGGTGCAATAAATGTCATTCGTGATTCAACATACGATAATATTGTTTGTTTATTTTCACTTAATTTCCTTGCCTAAAACACAAAATAATATAAAATCATAGATAATAAATAAATATTTGATAAAAATGCAAACCATTTGACATCCTTCCATGACGCGATCTAATTCTTCATGAGTTAAATTTTTTCTAAAATAAAAACAACAAGAATATGAAAACAATGCAATGAATGAATGACTTAATACCCTTGAGTTGTCGAAGCCGATACACTAACGATCATAATTGTTGCCTGTGTCAAAAACTGTTGTAAATTTTCATTCAGTTTTGCTCGATCGACATTATTACCCAATTCCTTAAAAGATAAATTAAATTAAACAATTTTGTTTTGATCTTCTATGGAGAAATCAAATATTTAGTTTATTCAATATGAATCTACGAAGTTCACACTTAGACTAATCTTGTGATTAGTTTAGTATAGAAGTCTTTAGAAAACTTATACAAACGGTGATCGCATACGTTTAATTCATTTTTCTTCTCTTCTGTTATCTATTTAATAAATGAAAATAATTATTTTTACCTGAACAGTTTTAATATAATCTATTGGTAATTGAACTAGCTGTTCTAATTCTGGAAATCTTTTATGATAAGTCGTTCTAACAAAATTATAAATAATATCCATTTCATTATCAATTTCCACAAGTAGATTATTTGCATCAACAATAAGTAAATATTCTGGATCATGTTCAATAGGACCTTGAATTTCTGCAGTAGACATTCGTTGATGTTTTGTATAGAAATCAATTTTTCTCATTGTTTCTTTAAGTAATAATGAATCATTTAATTTTGCAACTGAATGAATACTATTATTATTCGGTAGAGAATTAATTGCAGCTAATACTTGATCAGTTTCCATTTTCTGTTCAGTTGACATATTATTCTGATCATTACTAGATAGGCCTTGGCCTTCATCCATTTCTTCGAGATCGGCACGAAGTTCATCAGCAAGTGACATGTTTTTATCTGAAATAATTAAAATGAAATCGATTTACTTTTATTTTTTTTCTTTCTCTAACAATGGAGGCGTTTGCACTATCCTTGAGATAAATGGGATATCTTCGGATCAAATAAAAGCTCTCATCCCCAAACTAACACGGTTAAAATATTAACTGCTATTCAAGGGGGAACAAACTGATTGCAATCTCTGAAATCAAGTTGAAATCAGTTGAAATCACCGAAATCAAATGAAATCACTTGAAATCACATTTTGATTTGGGACATCAGAAATCACGAAATCAGTTTGTTCCCCCTTGCTGTAAATACCTTAAAATTCGAACATCTCAGTCTAGGCAAGCCAATAGCAGCTAATATTTTAACCTTGCTAGTTTGGCGATGAGAGCTTTCATTTGATCAGAAAATATCTCGGTTTTCTCACGGACAGTGCAAGCACCTCCATTGTTAGATTCTTTTCTTTCATAATATAAGATTGCATAATAATATGTCAATAACAGAACATGTTTTCTTTTATCTTATACCTGAAATATAACTGAAGTGAAATGAATGACTCACCATTTTTCTTTTCATTCTTTTAGAAAAGCAAATTTCATAAGAGAACGTCAATAACAAATTTTAGTCTTTATTTATAACTGTAGTTGTTTCTTGAATACAGAGAGGATACAAATCTAAAATGGATTTATCTTCACACGAAAGAGAAAGAAAATTAGTTCCAAGATTTCGTCGAAAAAATCATAGTAAAAATCTAGTTGATCTTGACGATCAAGAAGCACAGGCTTTAATAGAAAAAGATTTAGAAAGTCATTTTAAATGGACGAGTGATATAACAGATGATTTTAAATATAAATATGATGATTATCAATATGAAGAAAGTAATCAACAAATTTCAATTAATGATCAAGCAAATGTCAATTTTCTTTATGATATTGAAAATAGTTCGGAACAATTATGGAAAAATAATATGGAAAACGATGATAATCAATTTACGAAATGGACACATGATCAAAAACAAAATAAAATATCTTTTTCAATTGAAACTATTCAACATAGACAACAACAATGGGGCTTAGATGATAATAATCAACGATCTATGCAATTTAATTTAATAAATCCAAATGAGCAACAATATAAACATGATATAGATACAAATAATGATATTTCACAAAAACGTTTTATTGGAGGAGATGAATTTCGAAATAAAGTAAATATTTATCGAAATTATTATTTTTATTTTTTTTCTTCTTAGATCAAATTTGCTGTTGAGTCGCAAGATGAAAAGTTAAATTTGTTTATACAAGATTCAGAAGATTTGTTATTATTAAAAATTGATACAAATATACCTTCAATAAATTCAACTATTAGTCTTCCTCAAAATCCAATTACTTTTCATTGGCTAGAAGGAATTTCGCAATATAATATATCATTACCTGTTGATAAATATTCTCAAGAATATTCTCCTTTAACTGAAATAAAACTTCAACTTGATTCCAGTAGTTTAAAATCTATAAAATGGTCATTAGATTTATTAAAAGAAAATCTTATTGTTTCTTATTTAATTAGTTTACCAGAAAATGAATATAAACAATATTCATTACCTGATCAATTTCATTTAAAGTTATCAGTCGATGATGAGAATTATAAACAATTATTTTCTTTAATCGATTTTTCATTTAAACAAACATTAAGTATTTCATCAAATGATATAAAAGATCAATTATTAACAATAATTGATTCATTTGAAATAGAACATAATTTTGGACATGATGATCAAGAGCAATCTTATCAATGGTCTTTAAAAGATTTAAAAATAATTATTTTAAATCTTTCACCTATTGAAATTCTTAATTTAATCTACTCACCAACTGATGTTAAACAAATTTTACTTGAAAATTTACTTATCGATAGTGATGAAATAAGTGCTCGAGCTTTTCGTCGATACCGTTGTAAACATATGTCAATTAAAAATGATGACAAAGATCAATTAGATTCATTAGAAGGTTTAAAATTACAATTTAAAGGAAACGAACAAATTGCTATTGGAGAAAAACACATAGAAAATGATTTCAATGAAGAACAAATATATCAAGGTTTTTTATTTTATTTTAGAAAACAGTACTAGATTTATTTTTATTTAGATATCACAAATTGTAAAATTTTATTAGAAAATGAACATCCACAATCATATGATGCTAAAATAGATGAGAATTCATCAATGAATCAAGGTCCTTGTTTATATCGATCGGATTATGAATGTCAACCACCAAAAACTTGGTCAAGACTTCGTCGTGAAATAGGTTATATTTCATTTGATGGTTCGCTTTCTCAACCAACTTATTATTTAAATAAATCCTTTAAACGCTTTGTACATATTCCTATCAAACGAGATCATTGTTCATCTAATGTTTACAATGGTTATTCACAATTCATCGAAAAAATTCGATTAAATCCAGATAATTATTTTCGTGCGTTCGATTCAATTGATCTTCGTCCATTACTTCATTGGTATTCACAAAAGCAACATCTTTTTTCTTCGACTAATAAAAATCTCTTAGAACCACCAACATTTATTTGTCGTCGATTAGTTTTACGGACAATTCTAGCTAACCTATACTGTGACAGCGATCCATGGAAATTACTTGTTGTGCGTATTAAAGGACAATTCTATTTAGCATTAGCAAATCGTCAAACAAAATCAGCTGAAGATATAACAATAGATGAATATAGTGGTTATAAATTTGAAGCTTTATTTACAAGTGATCAACCAAATACAACAAGATTGACGGAAAAAATTCCTTTAGAAAAACCACAACAACAATTTCATACTGTACAATATTGGCAATTCGGAGATTTTAATTTACTTTATTCAAATGAAATTGATGGAGAAATAGTCAATGATATACAAGAAAAACCAACAACCACTGAAACACCTCAAAATCTTAAACCAGTTTGTTTTCTATTCTCTTTTCTTTTATATCAAAACTAATTTTTATTATTAATCGAATTTATTTTTAGGAAAATGAAACAACCACAACTACAACTACAACTACAGTAACCAAAGAAACTTCTGAGTAAGCTATTCGAATAGTATAAGATCGTTTCGGGAAAAAACAAATTCTTTTCACTTTTTTCTTCCTTTCTTTTAAAGTAAATCAAGTGAAGTCGATTGGTGGGAAGAAGGAGCACCGACTGATATCGAATCTTCCTCAGATCAAATTCAAGATAAATTAAAAGAAATACAAATAAATGAAAATCTTCAATTAATCAATGATGAAAATGAAACAGTTGAAAAGAAAAAACGAAATGAAAATCAAATAAAAGCTGGTTATGTTGAAATGAAATGCACAAACAAAAAAATCTTCTATCGAGATGAAAATAAACTACAAACGCTTTATTGGTGGGCACAAATGTGGTTAGCAAATGTATATACACTTATGATCGGTTATAAAACATCAAATGATGGAACTGTTAATCAATTAGATTTTCTTTCAACCGATAAGCTTATTTCAAAATTTCTTTCTAAATATGATCTTCGTCTTAAATATTGTTTTTCTTATCTTTATTCATTTCTTAACTTAATAGAAAAAACAATTACAATCGATGATCCAAATACAATTCATGCATTTGCTTATATTCCGCAACCATTGGAAATTGATCCTCTTACTGGTAAACCATTACAATATGATTTACCTAAATGTGTTCCATTTCGATATACACAAATAAAAAGATCAAATCAAAGACATTCGAATTTTATGCCTCAATGGTATCTTGAAAATATTCAAAGAACTTCGCCAATCGGAGGAATTTTACAAGATGATCAACTTAAAACGGTTGAAGAAGAAATGAAAAAACGTATCGGACATCGAGGAAGATCATCGTGTATACTTAAACAAGAGAAACTTAAAAAAAGACACAAATAAAATATCATTTTTTTTAAGTTTAATTTCTATTAAAATTCAACGGTACTAAATGGAATTGTTAATATTTTATTATGTTTAAATTAATAGATAGATTAATCAGGCAGTAACATAAAATGAGAAGCTAAAATTATAACCAAATAACCCTGATCAATTAAATAGTTATCACAAGTGGAATAATTTAGATAAATGAATACGTGTTTCCATTGGATTTGTTACCGAATATCCTTTTGTTCTTGGATCACTATAAATCTCATAATCATTGCCACCCTAGATATAAGAACTCAATTTTTAGTTTTTATTAAATAATGATTACTTTTATTCAACGATATTCAATGTCTATTCGTTTAAAATACTTGTTCTTTAAACTTTCCATTGAAAATAAAACTAACATCAAAAGCAAATTTCGAATATATTTCATATCGAGCCTCAAATCAAATTATTCTATAAAATCGAAAGAACTTCCACAAAAAAAAGATTTAAAATAATCGAACAATAATTATTATTCTGTTATTATAAAATTATATAGAAAATGATTGAACCACTCATCGAAATATTTAAAACTACATAGAATTGATATCTAGCAGGAATGTAGCATTTAGAAAGAAATCATTATTTTATAGTTGATTGACATAATATAAATTTTTTTTTATTATAGAAGATAATAGTAAGCTTATCTCTAGTTATTACATAGAAGAATTTTTCAAATAAGAACAAGCATTTCGAATGCATCGACATTAATTTGTAATTACGTAATTGTCAAATAATACATTTTTGCTATCAACATTATAATTAAAACAAACTTACCTGAAATGTTTTATCGCCAAAAAAATAAATATTGGATATATTTTCACTCTCTAAATGTTTTAATGCATATCGTTTATCCCATCCTTCAGGAAAAGCATCAAAACTAATTTGACCACCTAAAAAAATAAAATAAAGAATTCAAGAAAAATTCCTCCTCATTAAATAAAAACAAACCAATTGAAAAAATAAGTTTCAAGTGAGAAAATTTTTCTTGAAGATCTTTAACCATTGTACGACGAATGTTATGTTCCTGAAATAATTAAATTTATTACCAAATAAAACTATTTAAAAAAAGAACAGAAGAAATTTACCAAGTCATATGCTTCAAATAAATCTCGTTCTTCTTTTGTACAATTACGTCCTACTGGTGAAACATTAATTAGACCATTGCGAAATTCGATAAATGTTCCGCTAATTGAAATAACTTTTCAAATTTTATTTCCAAAAATACAAAATAAAAAAACTTACCGCTTGAATGGTAATTTTATTTCTGATAAGTATTTTAAACAGTAATTTATAAATGATTGTAAATCATCTTCACCGACATGTTTTTGAATATTCTTGAAAACAGATATAAATCATCATTACGAATAAAGTCAAAACAAATTCAAGTAACAGACTTCTTCAAAAAACTGTTTTCCATTTTTATAAGCTACAAGACCATTTTCAGCAAAAACATAATCATATTTCGCTATAGCTAAACAAAAATGAAACAATATAAAATGAATCAACTCAAAACAATAGTTTACCTTGCATGCCACCAATTTGTTCAGCAATTTTAGCAATATCTGATCCGCCAACAAGACCAATAAGACATTTTTTTCTAAGTGCTTGAAGTTGTTCATCCATTTCAGGCATTATTGTCTAGAATATAACAAAAGAAAAATAATATATTGTCGTTTATAAATCAAATTCTTATTAATAGTACTTGTCTTGGCATAGTTATTGTACCATCTACATCAAATAAACAAATAGTATCGATTTTTTGCGTTTCTAATAGTCCATCATTAATTTTCGATGCTTCACTTGATGTCTGAATAGAACTATTCAATGTTGCCATAGAATTATCTATAATTTTAAAACAAAAGAAAATGAATCTCGACTTTGTTCATAGGCTTATATTTTTTCGTTTTAGCGTCGGCTAATACAGAAAAAAACATAAAGAAACAAATAAATAAAAAAAAACTATATTTCTTAAGACGAATGTGTATCTTGATGAATATTTTGACCATGTCGACGACATCGTTCTAGATGTGCATAATAAAGCAATAAATTATTATTTGCATAAGTGGGATTCGAAATTGATGTTAATTCTACAGGAAGATTTGTTGAACGTCGACGATCATGAATAACACAATCTATATTTGGACATGTGCATAATTGAGAATGAAGAGAATTCAATGAAGATATCGAATTAGTTGAAGATGATGAATCAGAACTAGTTGAACTTGGTGGAGAATAATTGCCCGATATAGTAACAGTATTTGATGCACTAATAATAATAATTGATCTATATTATTAAATAAAGATAATCTTAATGCTTTTAGAAACATACTCTGATGGAGAATTATGTCTTGTTGCTATTCGTTTCGGCATTGAATGACTTGTCACACCGCCACCACCATTATCAGTCAATGAATAAGGATTATCTTCGTGATGTCGTTTCCTACAATAAATTTGCTTTTTATACAAAGTACTTCCAATTAAATAAAAGATAAACACTTACATTGCTGATCTATATACAATACGTAAGAACTTACAGATGTGTAAAATAACTCTTCTTCTAATAAGACAATCGTCTCAGATCAGTCAAACGTTCTCGTACTGTTTTAAAACTAAATATTTCAATGACTGATGATTTACAGTTACCAACATAATCAGACAAAGGTGGTAGGTCGAATTTTTCCAAATAGTGGAACAGACTAACTAATCAAAATTGAATTCGATCACTTTCTATATAATGAATAATAGAATTGTCCTCAAGACCTATTATACAAATTTCTAAAATTTTATACACATACGTCGTTTTTATAATTTTTATCTCAAAAGCAAAAGAACAATGTCTTTTTTTGGTGTTTGTGTTAATTATAGATGGCGTGAGCATTTGAATCGATTTACGCTCATCGAATTCTAGAAGCGAGATTTTTAGCATTAATGGATTTCTTTACATATTTAAAGATCGTTTTTCGTACAGATTTTAAGTTCGGCGTAGTGTCTGGACTTCACGGCATCTGCAGCCATGTACATTCATTAGGAATTGGGAAGCCTTAGAAATTTATCTAAGTATCATTCTTTTGTGTCATACTTGTTAAATAGAAATTGTCCGTTATGATTATTAATACACTGTATAGTGATTTACGAGCTTTTCTAGCACATCTATCGTATTTACAATGAATACTTTGTTTGACATATACAACGAAACAACTGAATAATTCTGATTACATTGAAAAGAGTAACGTCACAATTTATAGAATCATATATTACTTGAAATCACATTATCGAGAAAGACATGAAAAAACTTTCTTAAAAATACAATTTTTTTATGTGCAAAAAAAACTAGTTCAAATTCTGAAGCATAGCATTGTAATACACAGTAGTAATCATTTAAGATGAAAACGACTAACTACCTAATCGATTTATGTGAGCCTGTTAATCATATGTATTTTAAAGTTATTCAATCGTCACTATAAGATGGTGAAGCGTAAACCAATATAAGAACGCTACCGATCAATGTTAATGAAGTAACAAAAAAACCTAGCAAGATAAATTATATTCCTATTATTGAAATTCCATACAAACAAAAGCAAACCTTAAGAAGGTTACACGTAGCAATTCAAGGAGAAGAACAATAATCATTGAACTAATAACAAACGGTTTATACTATTTTCAAAATCGAATAGTATAATTTATCGTTCTTACACGACGACGAACAAGTGTAATCAGTAAAACAATTGTCGACAAAAAGCTACTGAAGTAGGGAAAAATTCGATGAAAAATATTTATCATTCATTTCATAATGTTGTAGTCAATTGAAATGAAATTTATTATTAAAATAATAAAAAAAATGAGAATTTATTTTATCAGAAATATTCTGTAAATAAATAAATAAAAATAACTTGTGATATTACTTTTTTTTTCTATGATCTAATTGTTATACTTTATTTTTTAGCCAGTTTCAATATTAACCTAGACAAGTAAAGCTTGCAAAGAAAAAAACGAACAGACCAGTTCGTAAGCTTTAATTTCACATGTAATAAATAGACCAAGTTCAATCAAATTCTCTTGTATATCAATTTTACAGACACAGTTTTCAATGGTGTAACTTTCTCTATCAACATCACTTTCAGTTTAGAGAAAAACGGCAGTGAAAATGAAATAAAAGAATACTCGTCTTCGTTTTACAACATGAAAGAAAAAAAATCAGTGAACCATATCGTCAATTGTTTATTTGTACTTTTTCTTCTCATTTTTGTTCAACGTTAAATAATGCTGTTTAAGTTAAATATCCGACGTCGGTGTTATCGTTTATGGTATTCAACGTCTGTTCGATTAATTCATTTAATAATATTACTTGTAATAACATTTTTAATTGTTTTATTAATAAAGTTAAGAAAAAAAGAAGATTGTTGGCGTAAGTGAAGCTTTCAAACAGAATAAAATAAAAAGATAAATGAATAATTGTTTAGTTGATAAGTATCGTGCTCGTCTTTTTTGTTTTGTATTAACAAATGAAGAAAATTTAGAAAGTCGAGGTCGTGCTGTTTATGAAACATGGGCACGTCGATGTGGTCGATTTGTATTTGTTACTCGATTAAATTCTTCTAGAAATTGTGAAAATAAAACTGAAAAAAATTTACATGGATTATGTGAATTTCCAATAGAAAATATAACAACATTACCAGATGAAAGCTATTCACATTTATCAGATAAAGTTCGTGCATCACTTTTATATTTTAATGAATATTATCCAAATTATGATTGGTATCTGAAAGCAGATGATGATACTTATATTATTGTTGAAAATTTACTTCGATTTTTAATTAGTACTATTAAGTAAAATCATTGAAGAAAAATATTATTTCTTACCGTTTTATTTTACATAGACGTTATCCAAAACCTGTTTTATATGGTTATCGGTTTGGTGAAGATTATGTAAGTGGAGGTGCTGGATATGTAATAACACGTGAAGGACTGAACTTATTTAGTTCACATATTAAAAATGATTCAATTTATTCTCAATGTAACTCGACAATGGAAGATATGATGATTGGAAAATGTTTCGAAAAGGTATTTCAAATTGAATCTCATGAAAATATAAAACATTTAACATTGGTTGGAGAAACAATTGATCAACATGGAAGAGAAAGATTTCATCCGTTAGCTTTTCGTCTTCATTTTAATGGACCATTAAATAAAACCAATCGAGAATGGATCTATTATAGACCTTTTCATCCTACTTTATTTGTAAGTTTTCCTTTCAGTATGATTCTCCTCTTCTATTTTATATTTGATCCATTAGGGTTACGAAGCAATAAGTGAAACAACAATTAGTTTTCATTATACACAACCAAATGATATGTATCAAATTCATTCACTAATTTATGATATTAAACTATTTGATAGACAATTGTGTCTTGTTTCACATTTGTAAAAAAAAGTCATCTGTTTGATGTGATAAAATAGAATCATAAAAATCTATCATTTAATTAAATAAATAGATCGGATTTTATATTTTTATTTATAATTAATTATCAGACAAGAATATCGTTCTGTTGATTTAATTGTAAAAAAAAAGAAAAGAAAATAGTCGATGAAAAGACATTTCTGTCATGTGACCTTAGCTTGTACGTGTTAAAACACATTTGTCTACAAACCTTATGGCAGAAAAAATGAGACAAGCATGAGGTTATCGCCATCGATTATTGACAGGAAAAAAGAAATACGCAATATGTTTTTGTTTGTTTGGTATAAGATTATTTTTCCTAACAATTTAATCTTGATCAGCTACATGAGTTATTTTTCAATTTAAAATGCATAGAAAATGAAATTTATCTACTTATGTTTTATACTTAAAATAACTGAAAATATTCGCTTTGTGATGACATTTCTACTTTGTTTGCTCATTATTATTTGTAAATTCTAGTATTCACGAGAAGATTAAATTATCCAAAAAACGTTACAGAAGATTTTTTGTAAATTTGATGAAATCTTGATTCAAACTTTTGTTAACTTGATATTTGAATAAAATTTTCTAGTTTTTTCTTAAGATTCATTCTAAAATAAAATAGTAATAGACACTTTAATTAAATAATATCTACGTTTGTTGTTTACTGATCGATTTCATATGTTTGATAGTTCAATAATCTTATTTAAATAAGACAATTTTCTCTATGTTAATCATTTTTATTTAAATCAAAGAGGTTAATCAGGGTTCTTTGATCAATATTTAAATAAATCAATAGATAACTAATTTAGATTATTATTTTTTTGTCTTTTCATATTTTCATTGAATATGGAAAGAACAAAGCCAAAAGCATTCTAAAAAGAGCTAGGGAAATAAATTTTTACTATTGATTTATTTATTGTCTCATTTCTATGTTATTTTGGCAAAATAATATTTCTTTTCTTGCATAGGATCATACAATAAAAGAAAAAGAAAAAGAACAGAGACAAATTTAATATAATTGATGGAAATGAGTTCACTGGGGTTTGTTTAAGATGGATCGTGTGGATGACGAGGCGATCAATAATTGATTGGTGCTAAAGACCGATACTCCTAGTCCAACAAGCGACATAAATACAGCCGCACTAAATGATAAACGTTCTTTGTTCAATGATGAATTCGTTATATCATATTTCTAAATGATTATATATTTTTAATTAAATAAAAACAAAAATTTTAAAAGTCGAAAAAAAAATTTACCGTAAACAATCTTGATCCAGTCTTTGCAGCAGCGCCAAATATCATCCTTTTTATTATTAAAGAGATTTTATCTAAAACAAAAACAAAGCAATAGTTGATTGATTTATAAGAAGACAAAATATATTTTTGTCTGAAGAGAAAAACAACAGAACATATATATTTATGTATGTGTAAACTTGCATAGATCGTCAAGCTCAGATGACTCATACGTTTATTGGACGACTCGAACGGCACCAATCCATTTCATTTCTTGTGTTTTCGAGATAAATAAATAACGACATGCATATTAAGAATTGGCTCTTTTTTATTCCATAAACGATGAAAAGAAAAAAATAGATGGAGCTCAATAGCAAAATAACTATTTTAATTCTTTTCGAATAAAAATACATCTAATCATTTTCCTAAGATGAAAATAAACTAAAAAAAAAAGAATAAAGTCTAATTAGTACTAAACTTAATTAGCCGTTTTACCAAGAATCCATGTTTTATTCGATTCTAAAACAAAGTCTTGCTATAATTTGGCCTAAAGTCTATTGAATTCGTTTTTTTTTGGTCAATAAGCTAAATAATGGATTGCCCCAATTCAACGGTAGGTAGGTTTTCTTTTCTCACTACATTTTTTGTTTCATATAATTGATTAAATTTCAATAATTCAAAAAAGAAAATGTTCTTGAACGAGCACTACGAACATATGAAGAAAGCGAACGTTCATTGAAGTCAATTTGTAATTCTGTTGAACAAGAAAATAATGAATTAGAAGAAGAATTTAAAAGTCTTCAAGCGCATCAAACAACATTAATAAAACAATATCATTTAATTAAAGAAAGTCTTCATCAAATTCGAGGTGAACATGCAAGATTAGCTGAAAGACAATTAGTTATTGATCAGCAAACTAATCAAATTCATCAACGGTTTTTATTTGGATTTATCCAAAATACTATTTTTTCTTAAAACTTTGTTTTTCAGTTATGAACAAGTTAAAAAGGCTTTAAAGAAAATTGTTTCTGCTGCAACTTTAACGAACGAAGATTTTTCTGACGAAACATTTTCAATGTTAGGTTTTAAATTAATCCGAATTGATGAAGAGAGACGTTTAACAAATGATATCGGAACTGATTATGATCCACCAACATGTTTATCAACAAAACGAAAATTAAATAATCAAAATAAAGAATTTATTTCAACAGAATATAATCATAAACATCACAAAAATAATTCTTCTGTACAACGATCATCCAAGTAACATTTCACTTTTTTTCTTGCTTCTTCGTCAATTACATTTAATGAATAGAAAACGAAGAAAAGTTATTGAAGATGATATTTACGTAGGTGGTCTGTCTTATTTTAGATTTTATTTTATTTTATTTTCGAACCTCGTTGAATGAGTGACGAAAATCAAGTCGATATTCCAATTAGAAAAGAATCATCTAGTTCTTCATCAGTTGAAAGTAGATTTATATTCGGTGAGTCATCCGATCCGATACACATTCAACAAAGTCAACAAGAACCATTTTTAGCAGAAGATAATAAAAATAATTTTCATAATAAATCAAACAGATTAAAAAATCATGTTGAAAAATCAATTGATCAAACATTAGATTATTCTTCGAATTATTTGGAAGAAACATCAATGAATCCATTGAATGATCAATCATCAACTTATAATATTCTTGACCAATCAATGAATGACGGAGATCCATTATCTTACTCTGATAATGAAACTCATTCACATTTATTACCAAACGATAATCAAATATCAAATACTGATCATCAATCCAAGTTAGTCGAATTTATTCATTTTAACTAAAGTGTCAAGGATGAAAATATTTCTGATCCGTCATTTTCTTCAGCATTCATTTTCTACTATCTTTCTTTAGGAAGACTATGTGAGACATTTTCCTCATTCGCACTCTCCCTCGGATCTGCGTCAACAAATCTATATTCATATTTCCATCTGCTTCTAAACTCAAACTATGTGATTAGTATGGGGTTCAGTCAATTGAGTACACAACAAAGTACAGCTGAATTTTGAGGTTAAGATATTTGAAAATGAAAATAGATTTGCACTTTTTCTAGTTGAAAGTACTGTTGAATGTGGCTGAAACATTTTATGTCTCATGTGAAAGCATTCAATAACACAAACTCAACAAAAATTTGATGATCAAAAGTATATTTTCCCCAAGTTCTGTATGATAATAGTTGTAGTCCTTCATTGAACTTTGAAATTTAACTCGGACAAGATCAAAATCAATACTTATCGATGTTGAACGAATAATAAAAAGTTTCTTTTAGTATGAAATCAATAAATCAATCCATCGTTTCCTAGTCTTAACTTTCGAAAAAATTTTCTCTGAATTCTAAGTTTCTGTCTCTTCGTCTATTGAACATAATTTTCTCAATGAAAAGAAATTTGAAATTCTATTTTCATTGAATTTGACAAATCTGAGAATAGATTGCATTATTAAAATTTATCCAGGGCACAACGTCAACTTGATGAAGAAGATATTCCACCAGCTGATATGAAACTTAATGAAATACCAATTCAGAATGACAATAATAATAACAATAACAATGATGGTGATGATAATGATAGGTTAACTATCGGTTTACTATCAAATTCAGCTGATAATTTCAGTTCTACAAAATATGAAACATCGTTTGAACATCATTCTATTCAAGATGAATCAATAATTGATCAAACAGAAACTTCTTCGACAGAATCAAAATCGAGTTCTGAGGAGAATAATTCTTCAATTGAATACGAAAAATTAAATGAAAATCAATCGACAGTCGATAAAACAAAGAATTCTTCGACAGAATCTGAACCTGATTCAAATGATAGTTCACATTTAAATCAATCTGAAGAACAAACTGAAAATGATAATGAAAATAATATTATTTCAGATGAACCATTGGTTGATGAAGCAGGATCAAAAACAAATTTAATTGAAAATCATTCGTCGCACGAATCTGATATCGAAGATGAAGATGAAGATGAACAAAGCGTGAATATTCCTACAGGAGAATCAACCGAATCCGATTCAAGTTCGACTGAAGATTCTCACTCAGTTGAATCAGAAAAATCAAATGAAAATAATAATCAAAATGATATTTCATTAATTGAATCTACTGTTGATGAAGCCAAAAATATTTCGAAAGAATCCGAATCGAATTCGATTGAAGAATCTCCATTTGATAATATGCAGAAACAAAATGAAGATGTTGATGAACATGATATTTCTTCAGATGACTTAATTATTGATCAAACAGGAAATATTTTAACAGAATTACAATCAAATATAAGTGATAATCATTCTTTAGTTAATCTTGAAAGAACAAATGAAAGTGATAATTCTTTAGTTGACTCAACAGTCGATCAAACGAAAAATATTTCAACAGAATGCGAATCAAATTCGATAGAAGATCTTCAATCAGCTGAATCGGAAAAATCAAATGAAGATAATAATCAAAATGGCATTCCTTTGGTTGCGACGACAGTAGTGGATGAAACAAATAAATCTTCAATAGAATCAGAATCAATTTTAACTGATAATGATTCTTCAAGAGAATCTGAAAATGAAAATAGAAACGATAATCCTTTAATGGAACCAATATTCAATGAAACGAACAGTTCTACGACAGAATTTCAATCGAATTCAATTGAAAATCTTCCATTAATTCAATCAGAAAAATCGAATGAAGATAATTATGAAAATGGTATTCATTTAGAAGAACCAACAGATGATCAAGCGAAAAATAATTCAATTGAATCCGAGTCAACATCGATTGACGATCCTCATTTAACTGAATCGGAAAAGTCGAATGAGGATGATAATAATAATAGTGATTGTCCTTTGGTTGAAAAAACAGTTGATGAAACAAATAATTCTTCAACAGAGTCCGGAGCAATTTTAACTGATAATAATTCTTCAAGAGAGTCTGAAAAAGAAAATGAAAATCCCAATAAACGTACAGAAATCAACAATTCATTAAAATCATGTTTATTACCTGATGTTGCCAATGAAATCGTGAAAGAGAATCATAGTAATTCAACTGATGATAATATTGAATTTGAAAACGAATCAATTGAACAAGTTAATATACAAAATGGAAATCATTTTGTCGAAAAATGTTTAACAAGTCAATTAATAGATACTGACAATAGACTTGAAATAAAATCAAACAATTTAAACAATGAAGATAATGAAAAACAATCATCAGTATCAAATAGTAAATTAAATCCATCAGAATTCGAAGATATTCTTGGAAATAAAAGTTTACTAAAACAAGTAAAAATTAATAGAGAAAAAATAAATAAATAAACTATTTTTATTATTTAGACAACAGTTACAGGTGAATCGGATAGTCGTCCAACACGTAGCACAATGGCAACAGTTTCATATAAATTATCAATAATTGATAGTTTAACTTCAAATATTCATTTAATTGAAAATGTATCAAAAGAAAGATTTTTTATTAGTGAATGTGATATTATAGGAGCAATAGATATTTGTGTTCAATCGATGAATCGCGGTGAATGTGCTTTAATTAATTGTGATATTCGGCACTGCTACGGTGAAATGGGTTGCCATGAAAAACAAATTCCAGCAATATCAACAAATAATTCCTATAGAATGTTAATCGAATTAGAACTACATGATTGGCAAAGTCCACCTGATATCCGTAAATTATCCATTGATGAAAGACTTTATTGGGGAGATAAAAAACGACATATGGGAAATTTTCATTATCGTCGTCAAGATAATTCAACAGCTCTTCAATGTTATAATGGTGCTCTTCGTTTCTTAAATACAGATCTTAATCCAATATTAATATCATTTGATGAAAATCAACGACTAATATTAAATGATCGTTATATACAAGTAGAAAATAATGTTGCTCAAGTTAATTTACTTTTAAAGAACTACGATGTGTGTTTAAATGCTGTTGAAAATGTTCTTAAACATGATCCAAATAATGTTAAAGCTTTATTTCGACAAGGAAAAGCTTTTTTCCAACTAGGATTATATGACAAAGCTATTCCACCCTTAAAATTATTTATGCAAATTCAAAAAGGAAATTCAAATGCTACTGTTGATAAAGAAAAAGTGACTGAAATGATTCAAACTTGTGAAAATAAATTAGCTCATTATGAAAAAAGTGAAAAAGAAATCTATCAACGTATGTTTAGACCAAAAACAACAGCAAGTTCACCATCTAATCAACAACGCCAAACAAAAGCTACTAATCAGGTTTTTAATTATTTCATATTCAATTCAATTATTTTCTTCTTTCTTTCTCATTTTAAGATTGATAATAGAAATGCTAGTTGGTGGCCGTACGTTGCTTTAGGTAGTGCTGTTTTAGCGACTGTTGCTCTTGTCACATTTATCAAACATCGGAAAATTTCCTGAAGATTCAAAAATCCAGTAACAACGCTTTTTTTCTTTCGTTTTTCTGCACGATTTGTTTGTGTGTGTTTTTTGGATGCGTTTTCTCTTTGAAAAGAACACATGTTCATTTGTTTTTGGGTTAACTTTTTACTGTCTACAAGAAGCATTCATCTCTAATCCAACGCGAACAAATAAAGACGTTCTAACAGAAAAAAAGTCAGCCGTCACTCCTCTTATTTATGAACAATCATACGTCACAGAAATAATAAACAATAACAAAAACCGAAATCTCTTACCATTAAACCCAAAACTCATCGAAATTATTTTTATCATAAAAAAAATAATTTCAAACAAATGAAAAATATATCTATTTAATTATCAGCGATTTTTCTAATCATTCGTTTCCTAAAAGTTTCGACAATCAGTTTTTAAAGACCTTCAAGGTCATATTGATTAGAACAAAGGATATATTATTGTTAGTCAAAACGACCATTAATAAATAAGATTAGATTATACGTAGAGTTTTCTTGAATGCAACTCATAAAGCAGCGTCTTCTAGAAATATGTTTGTGCTTAAATGCGAAAACAATTCATACAACGATCATACTATGATAATGGTTCTATGCACGCAAGTACACTTAAGTAGATATAATCGATTACGTACCAAATATCAACTGATTCGTACGCCTGTGACAGCTCCAGTTTCACACCCTGGCCGCTGTTACAAACATTCCTATCGAGTACTAGAACCATGCCTGAGGTTGCAACTAGCATGTGATAATACTATTAGCATATCTAGTTAGGTCACAATCACTACCAGAAATGTCAGTAATATCACGAGGCATGCTAGTAGCAACTTTAGGGGTGATTTTAGCATCATCATGCACAGTCTAGCATCCATAGGAATATTACTAACCGTGTCAGATATTAGGAGGTAGAGCTATGAAATGTATCAGCACCTGTGAGCTCGAACCGTTCACCATGTCTTTGATTCAGCTTCCGAGAGTGTGAAGCGAACACTGCCACACACATAAAAATACATTGATATTTGATACGTAATGAATTATACCTACCTGCGTATACATATCTATTTCCTAGTATTATTTTCTAGTTAACGTCATATTTTGTCAACAACTGTCTGACTTTGTTTCAGAGTAATGAAATTTCAACGAAATTGTTTCTTTTTATGAAGACAGTGTTTAGATGACTCCGTCATGAATCAACAGTTTTTATTAAATTTTCATTTTTAAGATAAAAACTACATTTGTTTTATTTTCTTGTCGCCATCAAATTTATACAGTCGCCGTATTAATGGCACCTTCGCAGAAAAGATTCATTCGAATGTCCCTTTGTAGATGAATTAAAATAGCGCACTACATTCTTGAAGATTTTTCTGGAAAAGTGAAAATCTGTCAAGATTTAAGGGAGGAGAGAGACTGGACGGCGACTAATCATTCATGACATCCTTGCAAAATGATTAGGTTTTAAGTTACAACATTTTCTATCAAATGAAAATAAGTGCAGAAAAGTATTCATGGCGCTACACAACGAAAAAAATTAATTTAGAAAGCCATGATTAACAAGAAACACTACAGAAATCGAGCCGTGCTTAATTTTTCTTCTGATATTTATGACTTTTTATTTTACACAGTGGTCTACAGAGAATGTTACCCATAGTTTAATAAGTGTTGGAATTATAAAAAAGCTAAGTAACTACCAGCATCTTTGCTTTTTTGAGATTATCCCAATAACTGTATGATCTAAAAGTTACATTTAACCGATATCATTTTTCTCATACTAAAAATCGGTGGCATGATCTATATCGATTTAATTAATTCTGATATGGTTCAATTGATATTTCAAAAGGTTCACTAGAAGAGACAGTACACTATAAATTACGCTAAAGTCATCTAAGGTGTTCGCTGAAAACACTATTTTACTTGTAGGAAGAATTCCTGTGACATAAATCTGAAAATATCAATAGAACATGATCCGATAATATATTGTTTAAAGACTATTAGATTGATACTTTTTCAATCAAAATAGATTTTATTTCTATGCAAATCATAATCATGCAACCTATTATTCCGTTCTTTACAAATGCCATGATAAGCTTGAGAAAAAGTTTCGAAACACATCGAGGGCATTTATTATCGATAACTTACGCACAAATAATTAATTGAAAAGAATTTATTATTATTATTATTATTATTGGTTGTATCGTAAACTGTTTGAAAGATTATTTCCCAGAAAAACTTATTGCCAAGATTCCTTTTCATCTGTTATTTGAATACAAAATAGAACAACGTGACCTAAGATATGTAAGCTAATTTAATAAGTCAATGATAATCGTAGACTTCTATTTTCGCATAGATAAAAAAAATGTAGAATTAATTTTTAATTAATAATAATGAGTTGGTCTCAAAAAGATCATGACATGAAAATTAAATTGTGACACAAAAACATCGTTGATAAAATGAATTTATTATTTTGAAACCTAATTTTTATGATGAAAAATAATTAAAATGTTATTTGAATTTCATTATCATTTACTCTTTCATAGACTGGTTGCTTTTTATTGAATCATTTTCTTTAAAAAATCCAAAAATCGAGTTAATTGAGAGATATGCATTCGTATTTTTCAATTTTTAATAAATTCATTGGCACAAAAAAAAATTTTTATTTTTACTTTAATTGATTTAAAAAGTGTACTTTTTAATGCTTGATTAATCTTTGTTGTTCAAAGCTGTTCTTTTTTTTTATTTCTTCAATAAGAAAGAAAAGATAATAATACAACAGTTGAATCAAATATACATTCATTTACATTTACATTAAAAAAAATCTTTTAAATGGAAAAATGTTTGGTATATATTTACTTATCTTGTCCAGCCTAAAAATAAATGAATAAAAGTACAAATATATTTCAATTAGAATTCCTACTGGATAAACGAACGATGTTAAATTTCTACATTGTTGATCACAACAAATTTGGCAAGTATATAAACCCATGGAATCTTCAAAAGTAGCATTTCGAAGAATTAAATCTGATGTTTCATTAAATGTATTTAGTGGCTCATCATACGGATCAAGCCATTTTGTTTTACATGCGTCTTTTCGATCGAAAGCAAAACGACACATCAATGATATATATTTACGTGGTTCAAATAAAGCTTGAGATGTATGAACTAAAATTTATTTATCAATAGAATTCTTTGTTTTCTTAATCTGTTTAACTTACCAGTAATAAATGCAACTGTAGAAGAATTCTCTACAGAAGAAGAATTCTCTCCAGAAAAATTCTCCTCGACTAAATCAAATGAAAAGAAATAAATAGTTTGTCGTCTTAAAGAATTTAATAAAAACATACGACTAGAATTAACATAAACATAAAACGTTTGTTGAGCATAAATATTTTGATGAACCGCAATACATTGATAAGAGCCATTTGTATCAAATGGAATTTTTTCTATATTGATTGTTGATACAATTGAAACGCCCAAAAAAGAATCATCAATCTCGTCATCTTCTTCTTCAACAATGTTCTAATTGAAACGAAAAAAAGAAAAATAATTAGAAAAATTTTTGTAGAAACAAAAGTCAAATACTTTTGAAACAAACGATTCAATTAAAGTTCCATTATGAAACCAAAATATATCAATAGTATCGAAACTTGATAAAAACGAACATGTTAAATGAAATGTTGAACCTTCATTGACATTATTTTCGATTGGCGAACTTAATGTAGATTGAAATTTAATTGTTTTATGCGTTCTCAAATGTTTTAACAATATGGACGACATAAATGAAGAATCAACCATGATTATTATTGATAAGTAATACTAAGAAATAAAAATAACGAAAAGAACTTGATTGAAATTTTCTTGCAAGAACAAATTATGAAAGAAAAAACACTTACAAAAAGAGCCAGAAAAGAAAATGTGATGATAATCATTGTCTGTCTGTTTGGATATGTGACGATGTGTCGTTTGATTTTTAAATTATGGAAATGACTTGTGAACGATGAACGACGACGATGACTTCTATTAGCATATTATGCAATGAATGACGCCGCTCGAATCACACTAACGGTTCTTCGTTTTTTTTCTTTTTCCTCTCCTTCTTCTTCTTCCACTCTGATTAAAAAAAGATGCCAGACAAAGAAACAATATGTCAGCGCGACTTTGGTCGTTGTGACCCTAATCTTCGTTTTTTTTCTCTCTCTCTCTTTATATACTTAATCTGGTCAACCAATTATAGTTATGTCCCTAAGAGAATTAAACGAGAAATTGGAGAAAAAAATGAGACACCCCCATTGGACAATAAAAATACTCTCTTATATGTTTAATGCAACAAAAAAACAATGCTAGCATTTTATTTTATTCTATTCTATGCAAGATTTTCAAACAAAAACTAAACCAGAGTAAGATGAGAAAATAAAGAAGAAGAAAAAACGAACTTAAAGGACAACTCTGTTTTTTCTGAAAGAAACATGTTTCACTTAAATATAGAATAAGAAAGCTGTGCATTGATCCAAATCATTTTAGTAAACGATATAAAAACGATTGTAATAATAATCAAATATGACATTAGTTAAGTCTCTTGAAAAAAAAAGATGATTGACAATCAACAAAGACATCTTATAGTGTATAGTTTGTTCTGTACTTTTTTTGATCTCGACAAGTTAAAGGAATGCTTTAATGAAAAGATTTTTATCTCGACATGACATGAAACTTTTTCAACTTGATTTTTACTTCCATTTGTAAGAAAAAAAATGAATTAGAACGATTAGATAGTTGAATCAAATGAGATTTAATCAATCTATAAAAAATTTCGAAGAAAATTTATCGATTGGTCATTACATATTCTGTTATTTCTGATTGATTGATTGATTGATTGTATCTGTATAAAGAAAAGCAAATGTACTAGATATTGGATATTCGAACACGTTTTCAACTTTAAAGATATTCAATATTCAATATTCAATATTCAATTTGCCGATGACATCAGTTCGATCAATATTCATCATCATTTAAAATCGAAATATTCAAATTGATTACGTTCAAAGATTGAATCACTTTTTTTCTTCTCAATAAAATGAAGAAAAATGCTCAGTTATCTATTATTCATCTAGAGTTTAGCGAGGAAATAAAGCACCAATCGAACTTTTGATAAATATGTTCTGAAATCTCAAAGGTTATCTATTTATGTCTCTTACATTCTAAGATTTATCTTTAATGAGAAACATGAATATTTTTCACGTGTGAGAGTAAACATATCCGTTGCATTGCTGCCTTCTTCTGCTCTCGATGAAGATATTTTCATGATCATAGGAAAAGTTAACTTTTTATTTTTGTTAAAAAAATATTTAATATCAATAAGCAATTGCCGCCAATCTTATTTGAGTTTACTACTTTAAACAATTCTTTATAAATAATCAGAAAAAAAAGTAAAGAATCGTCGATTAAGACCTCTCAATTTTAAATAAATCATTTCGACAAAGTAAAAGAAAATTTTATTTAAATTCAAGAGAATAATTTGTATTGAACGAGGTCTTATTGCATATGTTCGAAAGTGATTTTACCAGAATTTCTTGTCTGATTTTTTCTTCTTCTAATAAATGAAAATATTTCAAAAGATCTATCTCATATCATATCTATGAGTAATCCTATTGTCTTAATTTGTTTTATAGAATTTTAAAATCTAATTTGATTACTCCACAAAATGCTTCAATACTAATCTAGATATAACCTGAAAATTTTATTATTTATGTCAAACATCACTATAGACAATGAACTTTTATTGTGTTTTAATTTATGTAGAAAAAGAAAAATCTAATTTCATTTGTAATAAAACGTTTCAATGACTATGCGATATGAATTCAACAAAAACAAACTGATCTAGTTTCACAATTGATTATCATTCATCACAATAGAAGATTTTCTACTAAAACAAAATACATTATATAAATCTTATACGAAGCAGAATCATTGTGATACATAAAGTTAATTTTGATATTTATTTAAAATAAAATAATCTTTCTTTTTTTTGTATTAACACAACTTAAATGAAACATCGTAACATTTATCAACAAGAGCAATTGTTAGCTTTATTAATTTGTTTTTCATAGTTTAAAACATTTAGTAGAACTAAACATATCTTGTAAGCTACGTAAAATTATTATTTAGAATTCTGGAACGGATGTAAAATGCTTTTAGCTTGTTGGTTTTCTAAGTTTCTAGATTTTATTTTCTTGTTTTAATAATAATTTTAACTTTAATGTTAATTTCATATTTCGAGTGCAAAAACTGATCAACTTTTACAATTTTCTTAGGAGAATTCCGAACAATGATAATTATAGTTATAAGCATGATAGTACGTATGATGCATATCCATTGTTAAATACCAAGAAATGCTTCAGTGCATCTAGATAGTATGTGGATTTATATTCGTTCAATTATCTACGTTTCAAAAGATTCGAAAAAAAAATCATTCATGAGATTACTCTTGACAGCTGAGTAGATTGTTTTTTTTAACAAAATCTTTCGAAACCCATGCTTGCCGGTATTATTCTATTTATAGCAACAAATACAAGCTTTGAAGATCTAAAATATGCTTTTGTATCTATAAGTGAGTATACTTCTGTCCCTGACAACATGATGAATATCAAATATTCTTTGTTAAAAATCAAGACGCATTCGTAGCTATGTAATAATTAAAAATAATTTATGTGCAGTTTGATAAGTGATAGAATTTCGTAGGAAAAGTTCTTTTTTTGTATCTGAAGAGATCTACGTACGTATGTTTGAGTAATTTACAATACTTTTACTTGATCAGTATAAATAGATTTTTATTGAAAACAATGAGCAACACTATGTTGTTGAATATACAATACTTATTATGTTTTAAATGTTTATTTTATGATTTTTATTTTGGAAAAAAGAGAATATGAAAAATAAAAATTTTGATTAAATCCAATTAAACGAAAGGTTCATCAAACTTCGGCAATTTAATTTAGACTCTTTCTTTTCGTAGAGATCATTGAAGAATACTATAGAGTCGAGGATTATTTTTGATATCATTGAAAATATTTAAACTACTTTTGAGTCAGAAAAAAAAGATATCAATCTTTTCAGAGATAAGCTTCAGCCTTCATTTCAAAGAATCAGAAGAATTCCTAAGAACTTCAAATAGGACACTAAATTGATATAGATTAAAGAAAAGTTTCACAAATAATTATTTTGAAATATAACATTGACGATCGATCAGAGTTTGAAGCATTGCATGCTTGTTTTCGTTTTCAAACAAGTTAATATTTTAATGTTTCTAAAACATAGCTAAGGTACGTTCTAGTTATGAGACATGCGCTTCAACTTTTAATTTGACTATTTTGTAAAATGTTGTTCTGCTCTACATTGATGTAGTATTATGTTTAAAGTTCTGAGGACTTCTCAAGATTCTCTGAAATGACAACTGACAATTATCTAAGAAAATATCTATATTTTTTTCCTGGCTTAAACTCAGTTCAAAATATTTTTAATGATGTCAAAGATAGCTAATCATTATAATTGTGATTATCTTTACCTTGTCTGTATGAAGAAAAGAAAAAGAGTGTCAAATAAGCTTCTACTAAAAACCAAAATTTAATCACATTGCATTGGTTTGAAGTGAAAAAATTGCAAATGTTTATTAAATTGTCATGTACGAATTATTTTTCTAGTCAGAGAAAGAAGACGAAAGTATCATTTATTTACATTTTCATTTCACTTGTGAAAAATTGCTTTCATAGTATGAAGTTGTTATCTTGGTATAAGAATTAACATATTGTGTAGTTCAATATAGGCTTAACTAGAGTTGATTGTACTTATTTTCGAGCAAAAAAAAGTCAAAAAAATAGTATTGAGATTTTATTTAATTTGAGATGATTTGTAAGTTAGTGAATAAGAAAACAATGTTAAATATTAAATATTAAATATGTATCGGTTTGCCTCTGTTGTTATTTGAAATATTCGAGAGTGAACAGGTGCATTGATCTATTGACGTCGATCATGGAATCAAGCGCACAAATAGAAAGAAACAAACAAACAATAGGCGAATGAAAGGAAAATAATTGTCAACATCCGCTTCTTGTTTAAAAGCGCAGTCGCTGCTATTACAACAAGCCCAGTTTTTCATCAGAACTAAAAAGAAATGAACGAAGATCAAACCGAAACGAGAAAAGAAGAAAAAGAAAGCAAGAAAACGCTACTTCTTGCTTTTCTTTTCTTCTGTTTTAGTATAACTTGGTTAAGACTAATTATGCTTTTTGATGTTTGCATAAAGACTAGTAGAAATAACTGATCTAGTTGTGTCTCGTTTATACCGATGCAACAATTTCAATCAAAATATCATTATGGTACTCCGTTGAGTATAAATTCTTCTT